CCTCTTGGGGACGTGCAGATGCCGGTGTACATAGTGGCTGATGCAGCCTACCCCCTAATACTGTGGCTCATGAAGCTCTACACCGGACACCTGGATGCGAGCAAGGAGCTTTTCAACATCCATCTTAGCCAGGCTCGCATCCAGGTGGAATGCGCCTTCGGCCAGCTGAAAGGGTGGTTCCATTGCCTCCTCACATGGTTGGAGATGGGCGAATGCAACATCCCGGAGACGGTGGCCGCATAACCTAATGGAGAGGAAAGGGGAGGCCTTCCTGCCGGGGTCAGGGACAGGTGCTGATGGTGAGGAGAGGCCATTTCAGCAGCCCGGGAGGGCTGACATCCGCCAGACTCAGCCGGCTTGTGTCTGAGAAGCCCTGAGGAAGAGATTCTCAGAAGGATCCCACTGACTCTCCCCAGGGCCTCCCCCCTGGGGGGGATTGGCCTGGCCCATCCCTACCTGTCCATCCACTACCTTCACCCTCTTCCCAAAAAGAATACATACACACCCCGTTTTCTTTGTACACAGACATTAGTTTTTAATTAGAAACACTATCAGGAAAGAAAATGTGCTAACTGTTTAAAAAAATTATCTGTGCACTGTTCAAATGTGTAAAGGTAAATCTTTCACTCAAAAATAAAGATTTTGTTATATAACTGAAATGACCTTTAACTGGCGTGGTAGGGGACTGAAAACCTGGACAGGGGAGGGGGGCTCAAGTGGGCCACTGCTTTCCTGATCACAGGGGCCTGCCACCTTCCTGTGTCCTGGCAACACCATGACCTTGGGATAGGGGTGGAGCGAGACCTAGTTCTGGCCTGGGCAGGAGGGGGAGCAACTGTTGGGCCTCTGAGGGATCGGGATCAGGAGGGTCTGGGAGGGCTAACATAAGAACATAAGAACGGCCGTACTGGGTCAGACCAAAGGTCCATCTAGCCCAGTATCCTGTCTGCCAACAGTGGCCAGCACCAGGTACCCCAGAAAGGGTGGACTGAAGACAATGATCAAGTGATTTGTCTCCTGCCATCCCTCTCCAGCCTCTAACAAACAAAGGCCAAGGACACCATTGTATCCCCTGGCTAATAGCCTTTTATGGACCTAACCTCCATGAAATTATCTAGCTTCTCTTGATCTGAGGAAGTGGGTCTGGCCCACGAGAGCTCATAATCTAATAAACCACCTTGTTAGTCTTTAAAGTGCTACATAGTCCCGTATTTTGTGTGAAGAAGAACTTTCTTTTATTAGTTTTAAACCTGCTACCCATTAATTTCATTTGGTGTCCTCTAGGTCTTCTATTTAGGGAACTAATAAATAACTTTTCTCTATTGGCCCTCTCCACACCACTCATGTTTATTAGTTTTAAACCTGCTCCCCATTAATTTCATTTGGTGTCCTCTAGTTCTTCTATTATGGGAACTAATAAATAACTTTTCTTTATCAGCCCTCTCCACACCACTCATGATTTTATAGACCTCTATCATATCCCCCCTCAGTCTCCTTTTTTCTAAACTGAAAAGTCCCAGTCGCTTTAACCTCTCCTCATATGGGACCCGTTCCAAACCCCTCATCATTTTAGTTGCCCTTTTCTGAACCCTTTCCAAGGCCAAAATATCTTTTTGAGGTGAGGAGACCACATCTGTACACAGTATTCCAGATGTGGGCGTACCATAGTTTTATACAGGGGCAGTAAGATATTCTGTGTCTTATTTTCTATCCCTTTCTTAATAATTCCTAGCATCCTATTTGCCTTTTTGACTGCTGCTGCACACTGTGTGGAAGTTTTCAGAGAACTGTCCACGATAACTCCAAGATCTCTTTCCTGATTTGTCGTAGCCAAATTAACCCCCATCATACTGTACGTATAGTTGGGGTTATTTTTCCCAGTGTGCATTACTTTACACTTATCCACATTAAATTTTATTTGCCATTTTGTTGCCCTGGGGGGAAGTGGGAGCTGGACGGGGGAAAGGGGGGCTGGAGGAGCAAGGGAGCAGGGGCCTTGTATGCAGGAGGAGCAGTGCCTGTGACAGGGGAAGGCAAGGCAAAGACTTCCCTCATGGCACAGATGTCAGTGTGCTGCTGGACCAGCTCATCCAGCAGCCTGGTGCGCCTCTCAGCCTCTGCCTGCATCCCCTGCTGGAGGCTCCTGTTGAGGTCCTGCAGGGGCACAACATGCTCCCTCAGCAGGTCCGTGTATGCCTGCAGGTGTCACGGGTCTGGGATGGTGGTGGGGTGGGTGTGGTGCTCCCCTGTTGGGTAGAGGGTCCGGCTGTGGAGGAAAAGAGGAGGAGACAATCACTGTCTGTGTGCACCCCTGCTATCCCCGAGGGCATGCCGTGGCTGTCACGGGCTCTCCTTTGGTCAGGAGAGTCAGAAGTGTTACACATGACACCGTGTGTGAGTTGGGCAGCAGCCTAAAAGCCTCACAGGGGCCCCACAGTAACAATGGGGCTAGCTGCCCCCCTACACTGCCAACCTGCCTGTGTGTGGTGACCTCTCAAAGATCTCACCTGATGTTCCCTCCACACCCGCCTGGGAAGCCTCTGGAGTCTGGATCCCTGCTGCCTCCTCTTCCTCCTCCTCCTCCTGGTGCAGCTCTCCCGCCTCTCCTGCCTGGTCTTCCTCCCTCAGGAGGGGTCTGTCCATGATGTGGTGGGGTAACCCGGACTCCACCACATGCAGTAGAGTCTGGGCTTCCTCATAGTAAGGACAGGTCTCAGGGGCTGCCCCAGAGTGGGAGCTCTGGTCCCGGGCCATGGCATATCCCTGCCGCAGCTCCTTTACCTTGGCCCTGACTTGTGCCATGGTGCAGGGGTGATGTTCTTTGGTAGCCAGTCCCTGGGCTGTGTGCTCATAGATGTCCTCATTCCTGTGGCATGTCAGCAGGGCCTGTAAGGCTTCTTCCTGGTACCAGAGCTCCAGGAGGTTTTGGATTTCTGGCCCTGACCAGGCTGGTGACCGCCTTTTGGTGCCCCTGGGTCAGTCCTCATCTCTGTCCTGAGAAGAGCGAGGGGGGCCTTGAGGCTGGGACATGGCTGGCACGGCTGGCATGGGTGCTTTGTCTAGCTGCCGGACAGCAAGGCCTATTTGGGTGCCTGTGCCTTTAGGAGGCTGTGGCCAGGAACCACAGAGGTGCTGTGCCTGTAAAGGCTAGACTGTCCACCAGGGCTTCTTCTTGGAGGCCTTTTTGTCAACAGAACTGGCTCCCTGTGTCCACACACAGCTTTTGTCGACAGATCTCTGTCGACAAAGGTATTCTTCCTCGTAAAAGGAGGTTTACTGCTGTCGACAAAACTGCCATGTTCTGTCAACTTACTGTCGACAGAATGTGGCAGTAGTGTAGACGCAGATATAGTTTTGTTGACAAAAGGCCACTTTTGTCAACAAAACCCTGTAGTCTAGCCACACTCTCTGAGCATTGCTATCCAGCTAATTATGCACCAACCTTATACTAGCCCCCTCTAGGTTGTATTTCCCTAGTACATTTATTACAATGTTATGCAGCCCTGTGTCAAATGACTTACTAAAGTCTAGGTATACCATGTCCACTGATTCTCCCTTATCTACAAGGCTTGATATCCTAACAAAGAAAGTGTCTTAAGATGCTGATCCTGAGTATATGGTAGCCTTAGCCATTAAATTAAATTAATTACAAAATCTAGACTTTTTATGTTCTACTACTAACCTTAGATAGCTGTGCATTATTGAATTTAGCAGCAATATTAAAGGCAGAGGAAGCATTCATTGTCTACAGCTACACTACGGGTTTTGCCAAAAGAGATTTTTGCGCAAAAAGGAAACATTCACACTGCTTGTTTTTGTGCAAAAACCCCTTGCACAAAAATGGACCGAAAGAGATTATGCAAAGGAAGCACAAGAAAATGCTAATCCGCACTTCATTTGCATTGCCTCTTTCAGCAAAACTCATAGGCTACGTCTAGACTGGCATGATTTTCCACAAATGCTTTTAACGGAAAAGTTTTTCTGTTAAAAGCATTTGCGGAAAAGAGCGTCTAGATTGGCACTGATGCTTTTCCGCAAAAGCACTTTTTGCAGAAAAGCATCCATGCCAATCTAGATGCGGTTTTGCGCAAGAAAGCCCCAATCGCCATTTTCATGATTGGGGCTTTTTTGCGCAAAACAATACTGTGTTGTCTACACTGGCCCTCTTGCTCAAAAGCATTTGCGCAAGAGGGCTTTTGCCCGAACGGGAGCAGCATAGCATTTCCGCAAGAACACTGACAATCTTACATGAGATCGTCAGTGTTCTTGCGGAAATTCAAGCGGCCAGTGTAGACAGCTGGCAAGTTTTTCAGCAAAAGCAACTGCTTTTGTTGAAAAACTTGCCAGTCTAGATGCAGCCATAGTGTAGCCGCAGCCATTGTGTGTATCAGCCCTGACCAAACCTTAAAGATGTATTTTATATGCTTTTAGACAACTTCTATTACTCTGGAATTTAAAATTGCCTCATATTTTGGAACAAAAGATAGTGTAGAATATTTGAAGTAGTCAACATTTAAAGACTGATACTGTTCAATAATAAACCTGTAAGCAACGTAGCGAATGCACACTGGCTTAGTATATAAAGTACAAAAACAGATAGAAAACATCACGATATTTCCTGTATCAACTCTTGTCAAGAGTTTCCATTTTGATCCACACTCTGCTAATGGCTATAAATCACCCACAAATTACCCCTAATGAATTTCATTAATTGTCTGAAATGTTAATTTGGCATTATCATTTCCATTAACATTTTATGTTATTTGGGGTATATGCCATTTTCTAATTTCCTATTGCCTGGATATTTATTGTATCTTCATAAGCATATTCCTCTCATCTGAAAATTGTGGGGGTCTTGGAACACAAACTTCTGAATTAGGAAATGTCTCATAGACACACACATATTAGGGCTGTCAATTAATCACCATTAATTATATAGCATAATTAATGGTTTTTTTTAGTGTGCATTCATCAAAGACCCTATTGGTGGGAGGGCAGAAGCAGCTGCTGCAGAGAAACTGTCTGGAATAATGCTAGCCACCACAGGAGATGGGAAAAGAAGAGGCTAGAGAAAGATGTGGTTCTCATCCCAGTTCCAAAGCAGAGATCTTGAAACACAGGTAGACCATGTTTTTACTGTAAAAACAGAATGTCCAGAGGTTCACTTGAGCCCTCCCCGCATCCTGTCCCTCACTTCCAGCACTCAGCCAAGAAACCCTCCCCATGCCTTCTGAGGTTGGTGCTGCCTCCCCAATCCTATGCTGTCTGCAACCACCGTGGACTCCATTCCTAAGACTCATGCTGCGTGGGGCTAGGGCTGACCCTAATTAGATCAGGGGGCTGATCCTCATACTCCTAAGCCCCATGATGTCCGGAGCCCCATGTAGCACACAGAAGGGGCGAAATCTCCTCCTCAGCACTACAATGCTCATGTCTGGGGTTCATCCCCCAGGTTCTGTGTTGCCCACAGCTGGAGCAGATCCTCCCACTGAGCTGCATGCCTCCCCTGGCTGTAGCTGATCCTTCTCCCACCCCCAAGCTCTGCACTGCCCAGAGGACAGCTCTGAAGCCAACACTCCCTGCCTGCAGAAAATTTCCCCACTTTCTTGCTGTCAGGTAGTGCTGTCTTGAGCTGACTCCTGGGCAGCAGCCACCACTCTCTGCTCTGCACTGCAGCCAGGACAATTGGCCTATTTGTTCAAAAAAGTAGGGAGAGCTGGGACAGAGCTCAAAGAGGGACTGTCAAGGCTAAAGCTGGACATATCATCACCCTAGACAGCTCATGCTCATTCAGGGGCAACTGGTGAGGAAGTACACAGGGGGCCACTCAGACATATCATCACCCTAGACAGCTCATGCTCAATCAGGGGCAATTGGTGAGGAAGTACACAGGGGGCCACTTGCCATGTGCCCACCCTTGCCAGAGAAGAATTGGGACAACCTCCTTCCATGCCAGGCACCACCTCTCACTGCTCATCTTCCACCACCCCTTATTCCTGCTCTGTTCTCTTCCTGCCTTTGCCTCACCCTTCCTCCACCCCACCACGCCTCTTCCCCCATCCACCTGCCCTCAGCGATGCAGTCTTGGGGACTAGCGGAGGTGGGGATCTGGTACCAGCATCAGGGGTCTGCCCCCTCTCACACTCACCATCAGTGGCAGGGAAAGTGGAGCACTGTTGCCACACCTCACTCTGCTCCTCTGGCTACATTGCTCCACTCCCTGACGGTGAGAATGAGGACAGTCCCACACCCTCCCTCAGGAAAAGCTCTAGGGGAGAAAAGCAAGTTGGGCCACATTGATCTGCTTCTTCAACTGCTGCCAGTGAGTAAAGGGGGAGATTGGCGCCTGCTACTGGTGTCAGCCTACCTTCCCCCCACCACTAGTCACCTCAGATGCCCAGAGACTGTGGCTCCACCAGCTACTGGCTGCCCTTTACTCCTTCATTCCACACCACACTTTGCTTCTGTACTGTATTGTTTCCAGCCAGCTCTTTACTACTGAAACAAATCCCCTCCCTTGTATTGTGTCCTATTTCCCATAACCAGCTGCTCACTCCAGGAATACCCTACAGAGAACATAGCAAACTCACCCTCCCTGAACCAGCCTCTCCTCCTCTGCACCAAGATGAGTCACTGAGGTTAAAACCACCCTCCCTTGCAATCAGCTGGTTCAGCTGAAATAAAACCTTTCCATATCCATAGCAAGGACTCCTTTGAACAAGATACAATTATACTGATTATACAGAAGAATTGATTGAATTATTCCAGACATTGATACAGTTCTACCTGTGTTTTCATGATCTACAGTGATTAAATATGAGAAAAAGTTAGTGGAGCAAAGCAGCCACAGTTCATATCTTTTAAATGAGAAGTTTATGTTTAAAATACTTCCAGATGGTGTTCTGGCTACAAAGATAGTTATCTGTAGCTATTTCAGGGCTGAGTTCCAATACCATAGAAGCACTTCATGTACCACCTACATGCTAAGCCTGCTTTTGCCTCCATATCTTGTACTTCAAATATCCCACTATCAGCAAATGAATCCAGCCAGCCATGACAGAGAACAATTACAGAATGTCAGGATCATTAAAAGCCCATGGATCAAACAAAGTGCAACACCTTTACCAATGACATTTTTAAGTAGATAACTATGGGCTGCAAGCTATTCAGTTCTGTAAATGACAGAAAGCTAAAATAGATATCCAAATTACATATTCTAATCAGTCATACATTGTGCCTTCCCAAGGAAACACAACCTCACAAATAAATGACCTATAGGACATCAAGAGAACTAATCAGTTGGAACTTCTCAAAAATTCACTGGCTGTTGCTTTGACTAGTAACCACTGGGTTTCCTTGAGCAATCATAGCTATCATGGTGTCGTGGCACACATTATTGGGACTGCATGGATGCGGCAATCATTTGCTGTGAAACTCAGACTGAAGAGAGACATTATGTTGAAACATATATAGGGCATTTCATGAATATTGCAAAAGAATATACTCAAGAAAAGGTAACAATAGTTAGCACTGATAGTAAACATAACATGGTAGTAGCCACAGTCTACAGAGATCCATCAAAGTAGTGCTCAGGGATGTTGGTTTTGAATATGTGCTGGAAAAATGTAGAGAACTTGTGGACCATGTCAAACACAGTCCAGCTTACAGTACAATGCTGGGAATGCAATAAACTGAAAATGCACAGTAACAAGAACCTCTTGTATAAGATATTTCAACCAGATGGAACTCCACATTGGCTATTATTCAGTGCCTCCTTTGCAATAAAGCCGCTGTCACATCCACATTAGCTCTTCAAAAGCACCATCTGTCAGTGCCGACAGATAAGGATTTTGAAAAACTGCAAAAGCTAGAAATAATACTTGAGTCCTGCAGGTTTGTGACTGAACTCCTTCAGGGGGAAATGTATGTCTCCTGCTCCTTGGTTTTTTCCAGCATTGTGCCATATATTTCATGTTATGGCAGTCTCTGATATTGATCCAGCACGTGTTGTATGATTTAATACCATTTTCATGACAGATTTCACAAAATGCAAAGTTGGCACCTATCTGAGATTTCTAAAAATAGATACAGCACTAGAACATGGTTTAGAATGTGAGAGGGAGAAGATGTGGAACATGCTGTCAAATGTCTTTAAAGAGCTACACTTTGATGCAGAAACTACAGACAGAACCCAAACCACCAAAAAAGAAAATCAATCTTCTGCTCATGGCATCTGTCATGGTTGTTCCCCACTTTGGCACTCCAAATGCAGAAGGTGGGGGCTCACAAGAGACCCTAAAATAACCCCTGTCTCTATAGGCTTCTACTTAAAAGCTTCCTAAGACCACAGATTCCCTGGTTTTGGGAGGTAGCTGCCATCACCAAGTGAAACAAAAAAGACACCTTTCTTCTTGAACCCAGGAAGGAAGCACTTGGACTTCTTCCAGAGGGGTATTCCCAAGATCTTTTACCACAAGAGAGCTTGGAAAAAAGAGAAAATAAACTGCAATCTATGGTAGCTGACATCTCAGTCTTAGGCAGGCATACACAGGCACAGACCTCCTGTTTCCTTCCAGGACACAAGAATCAAATAATTGACTTAAAAAAGGTGATTTTAATAACAAAACAAAAAGATATACTTGATAAAGCATACTTGGTTACTAGTTGTTACAGAGCATCTAAGAAAAGAGCAGATTAAAACACAGAGCAAAAAATGATATCTCTGGGCACAGTTTAAATAGTGAATGCTGGGGGGGAGGAAAGAGCAATGGATTTTACACAGAGAAATTTTACCAAACAGCAAAATAAAGAAAAAATAACCCAATCATGACTAAATATACATTTTCCCTCTATTCATGATCCGTACTGATCTGTATTTCAAGGCCCAGTTCACTCCCATGTCCAATATTTTGTATAGGTATGGCAATTCTGATTACTGCATTTGCTCCCTCCAGGCCTTAAGTTAGAATTTTTGACACAAAAAGAGCAAGCAAGGTATCTATATACAATTCACATTTCAGCACTGTTCCCCATTGCTTCTTCTGGCCCCTGCCAACACCCTTGCTAGCTACCTAAGTACCCTTTAGTGATCAGCACTCCTCCTATCCATCACAGCATCAAACTCAGATGAGGAAAATGAACTGTCGGTCCATATTGCTTTGGATTGACATTAAGCAGCAACTGACATCAGCATCCTTTGGAAGACTGGTCACAGCAAAGAGGCATATAAAAATATTTGATACATTTGACATGTAACTATCTTGTGACACCTACAATAGGGGCATGTGAATTCCCTTTTTTTTCACTTTCAGGTGAAATTGTAATCAAGAAGTGGACAACATTATCTCCCACAAATATAAACAACCTTCTTTGTCTGAGGCCCCTTCTTCATGGCTTCCGAAAAAAGCCTGTAGTCTAGACATAACCTGAATGCCCTGGTCTACACTCAGGCATTATTTAGAAATAATGTCAAACACAGTCCAGCTTATAGTGCAATGCTGGAAATGTAATAAGCTGCAAATGGACAGTAACAAGAACCTCTTGTACAAGATATTTCAATCAGATGGAACTCCACATTCCCCAACATTGAATTTATAAGTGGAGCATCCACACCACCAAACCTGATATTTTGAAATAACGTGCCATTTATTTCAAAATCTGTACCCCTATTTCCTTAGGGAATAACAGTAATTTTGAATAACCGCTATTTCGAACTACTCCCCAAAATCATTCAATCTGATTACTCACCAGTGTTCCTTGGGCTCTAAGTTGAGGTGGCACTTCTACATCAACAGAGCTTGCCTCAGACTAAGTTTGACTCTTCCCTGTACGGGGGACAAACTATTTCTATTTTGTAAAATCAGGAGTTATTACATAAAATTTAGTTATTTTGAAATAATTTCTTAGTGTAGACATGCCCGGTGATCGGCTGAGCAAGATGTAGGACTTAATATACTGTATTTTGAAATAATTTCTTAGAGTAGACATGCCCGGTGATCGGCTGAACAAGATGTAGGACTTAATATACTTATAGGCATTAAAGGATTACATATTTTCATTGTTAACTGCAGTTATTTTCTTTTCTTTATTCTAAATTTCTAAGTTCAACTTTCATGATAAA